TTATGAAAAATCACTACAAACATAAAGCAATACAAATTTGTTAGCTTGCACTTCTCTGGCGTAGGGGTTCAATAAGGCTACAGTCTGAGTGTCAAGAAGGCTGTGTTCCTTTCTGGAGGAGCTAAGGGTGAATCTGTGCCCCTTTTTCCAGCTTCTAGAGACCCCTCCAGAGACACACCTTAGCTTGCAAGCCCCTTGCTCACTCTTCACAGCCAGCAACATCATCTCACTCTGAGGCACTCTTCTCCTCTCCCCTTGCACAATGAAGAACCCCCGTTACTACACAGGTTGCACCATAATAATACAAGACAATCCCCTTCAAGGCCAGCTGATTAGTAACCTTAATTCTATGTGCAAATTTAATTTCCCTTTTTGTCATTAAGTAAGGTGATGTAACATTCACAGTTTCTGAGAATTAGAATGTGACCCTCCTTTGGAGGGTATTATTCTGCCCACTACACACCTTATGACCGTCCCCAAATTGAGCCACTATATGCTAGGGGAACACGTCGTCCCAGGGGAAGGATACCAAAGCAGGACCAGAAAACCAAGCGAAGAAGTCAGATTGTTTATTTTGTGTTTCAGATGTCAAAGTTGACATAGAAGGTAAAATAATAATAATTTAAAAATAACAAAAGAATCTGTGATGGATTATAGAATTAGTCCCCCTCTCAGTCATGAAAGTAAAGACTATTTGAGTTGCGGGGAGAGAGGAGAGTTGAAAGTCAAATAAGGTAAATGAGTCTCCTTAAAAGGGATCCCATTCCCTACTCCCACCAGGCTAGTTGCAGGCACGCTGAAAGGGGATGAAGGACTATAGAAAACCAGGGGGTCTGAGCGCTGGAGAGGGCAGGGCATCTGTGTCTTACTTGCCCAACAGCATCTGGTCAATGACACGCATAGTCAAAAGCTCTTTCCAGGCAGGAAAACAGCTAGCTGCAGATACCTTCAAGGCACATTTAAACCAACAGGGCTTCAGAAAGCCTGCCTGGGATCCTTAAGGTGGGTAGAAAAGCTGTTGGGTATCCCTCAGGTCCTCAGAAATGTGAGAAAGCTCACCAATGGATAGAACCAGCTAGCCTTAAATGATAGCATGGTGGAATGAAGAGTACCAAATAGCACATGCTAACATGGACTACACACCTGTGAATCAGGTGGGAATGGAGAGGTCCTTACGTATAACAGGAAAGACAGAGATTGATGGGTGAGGGCCAAAAGAAACAGTGGGTACCAGATTGAGAGGTGATGACCCAACACCCAACATCCTCCATTAACTTATGCCTTAGGGACACGTTAGGCCCCTTGATGACCTTAAACAGAATGTCATGGAAATGACTCCTCAGGATAGATGCTAAGAGGCATCTGCCCAGGCTCTCAAAACACTTGATCTTGGATGTAAATATTCAAGAAGAGGTTAGAGCTTGAAAACCAAAACTGAATAGAATTTAAGTCTCCATTACCAAATGGATGGAACTGAAAGGGAATGACATTCAGTTATAGATACATTACAGAAAATTGGTGCAGTTATGCCTCTAAATTTGTGTGGCTGCAAATATCACATATACTACGTACAACTATCAGTGATATGGTCATATCTCATTTAAAAATGGCACTTTTAAAATCTCAAGTTATCACCAGTTGTATTCTTTGATTTTGCAGAAAATCTGTAAGTTCAAGGATGGTCGTTCCTTTTTGAAATACTAAGAACCCCAGACTAAGGAGTCGAACTTGATTACATAGCTATCCAATGACCAAGTCAAGGCTTAAGCCCAATCCACTTCCACCAACCTTCTTTCCGTGGTTCTTGCCTCTCCTTTCAGCCAGCTCTCAAGTGGCCCTAGCTCTGAAATATGACATGGAAGACGTGGTTCTGGTCCTCTCTCTTGCCACCTGGTAGTAAGACCTTGGAAGTCATTCTATTCTGGAGGGAACCTATAGTTCAGCTTTGTTATGAGGATGGATCATTGGCCATAGACATGCTTCGAAAACTCTATAAAGTGTTTTTAAAATATAAGCTATGATGATTTTTATGCCAGATGGAGTTTCTTAGAGGGGAGGCTATGAGAAAAAAATTATCTTTGCAGGCATAATGGAGTCTATAGAGAAATGAAAGGGATCTTAAATCTCTATTCTACAGAGAAGAGCTGGCCTGACATCTACCAAACCCTGGAGTTGCAGTTTTCATATTACGGCCTTCATATAATGAAGGTCTCTGACAACCTCATCAGAATTTTGAATTTCCTCTTAATCTCCAGGGAATGAAGGTTCTTTCTATTTTTATTTTCCAAGTATGTATTAATGAGACAGAGAAAGTGAGAGACCTTCTATCTATACACACATACATACACACACACACACACACACACACACACACCTCTGCATTCTGAGGTTTTGTTCTTCTGGGATATCTACCCTAAAGGAGAGAAGCTTAATTATTTCAGGAAAGATAACTAATGCTGAGGAGGGAAGAGGCAGACAACTTAATCCTCTTCTAAAGGTCAGACTCCACTCATATTTTGGAGATAACGTGGCCTCAGGACACCCTTTGAAGTGTTGTCCACTTCCTGACCCTAAGCCTTGGGCAAATCCTCCTTTCCCTCAGGAGCCTCACTTTTCCACACTGGAGAAGGAAGGCTTGGTGTGCAATACCCTGAAGGAGATGCAGATGAGGGCCACCGACCTACAATCCACCAGCACCCTATGTTTCCTTGCCTTCCCCATCTCAAGGCCTGCACTGAAGTTGCAGGTGCTTCCTGCCTGAAGCTCCCATGGTGACTCATCCAGAGATGAGTTTGGTTGGTAGAGGGGCGGGAGTGAGAATCAAGATGGCCCAATGACATGACCTATGACCGTAGTTGGAGGGACTAGGAAAGAGGTATTCTTGTTCTGTAGGACTCACTGACTGGAGGAAGCCCAGCTGGAAACAATGGTGTGATGCTAAGGAAAGCAGAGCTAAGACATGGAGCTGGACTCCAATGACGATGTTTTTTTGCCCCTTGATCCAACTGGGCCTAAACTCCCACTTGGGAACCAGTATATTTTTCTCTTATACCTGAACTACTTTGTGTTGAGTTTCTGTCACTTACAATCCTAAGAATTCTAATTAGTAACATCATGAATTGCCCATCCTCCTCTGAAGACCTGTTGATCTTTGAGTCTAAAATAATTTCATTGTATAACATATTCTCTTATCTAGAAGCTTCTTAGTGCATTGGTCTCCTGGTCTCTATTTCCCCAGCTGGTATGTAGGTACTTAATGGACACTGGTGTATCGATTTTCCTTGAGTTTCATTCAGAGAGCTTAATCCAGAGCAGGGATTCCCATTCCTGACCCCATCCCTCCCCTCTTACTTTTCCTATTTCCTGAAATGGGTAGTGTGGGGGTACTGAGCTGAATCAACAGATTCCCTGCATTTTCCCTCTACTTATTGGGAGAGACGAACTCTAGAGCCCAATATGTGCTGTAAAGCATTATAGACAATATGAGAAATGTGGGTACAAAAACCAGTAATGATGCCAGAAAGAGCATCACCCCTTCTCCAGGGGAGAAGGGAAAGACTTCCTCTAAGAGATGGAGCTGGAAACATGTCCACTTCTCTGCTCCATGGGCCGGCACAGCGATTCTCTCTAAGCAGAGACAACCCAAGCTAAGGCCATGAGGCATTCGGTGGGCAACATGTTCAAAGAACTACATCAGGGCTGGGAGTGTAGCTCAGTGGTAGAGTGCTTGCCTAGCAAGTGCAAGACCCTGGGGTCCATGGCCAGCATTGCAAAAACAAACAAATGAACAGAAAACCCTCTACATAATCAGCTCCATTTGGCTCTAGTGTAGAATGAAGTAACATAGTGAGAGATGGGCCTGGAGGGGGTGGAAAGGGGCAAGACAAGGGGCACTGATATCAGGCCGAGACTGACCATGGGGCAAGGCTTTCCCAGTGTGTTTTCAAGACCTCTGTCTTTTTTTTTCACATGTTAAAAATTCAGGTTCTTGGGACCTAACCCCTCTAGGGCTGCAACCTGGAACATGAATTTTGAACAACTACCCTAGGCCATTTTAATAAAATTGTGAATCCTGTGTGCCCTTCTGTAGGGAAATCCCAACAGGGATTTCACTTATCTTCCCTGGTACCCTTACTCATGCAAAAATGGCTGCATCACTGCCTTGGCATCTGCTCTCTTTTCCTAAGGTAAGTTGACTCCTCTTTGTCTTTGTGATACTGGCGATTGAGCCCAGTGTGGCTCTACCACCGAGCTGCATCCCCAAAACCTTGTTATATTTTATTTTAAAACAGAGTCTTGCTAAGTTGCTGAGGCTGACCTTCAACTTGCAATTTTGCCTTGGCCTCATGAGAATCTGGGGTTACAGGTGTGCACCCCTGTACTTATAATCTTAAGAATTCTAATTAGTAACATCTCCAGTTGCCCATCCACCTCTGAAGACCTATTGATCCCTAAGTCTAAAATAGTTCCATTATATCACCTCATAATCTAGAAGCTTCTCCGTGTACTGATCTTTGGATGTGTGATTTATCTTTTGAATCCACTTCTAATACCAACTTCCCAAGGCACCCATTGCAAACCTTAGGTTTCAAATGAAATTTTCCCTTCTAGGCCACAGCAAATCACCTAGGTTTTATACTATTTATATCTCAGTGATCCTCTCCCCTACCCCTGAGGTATTCACAGGGCTAAGGCATGCTCTATCTTACTCCCCAAAGGACAATAAGCTTCCAGAAATCGGGGCCTCTCAAGGACCTATTATATGGTAGGTGCTTGAATTACAATACTCCAAATCATTATTCCAACAATTCAAAGAGGTAGGTTTAATGATCCCATTTTATAGATAAGGAAACCAAGGAAGCCAAATGTTCCAGAGGCCACGGGGCAGGAACTTTGAGTACTGTGATCCTCCCTGACAGCTTCCCCTCACAGGGAGCAACCTGAACAGATAGCCTTGGTACCTGGGCAGGTACCATGTGCCTGGGCCAATGGGCACTCACCACGCATCCTGAAGAGTCCACCTGGCGGTCAGACACGCACTTGAAGTTGCGAGTGCAGCCCCCGTTGTTCCGAGAGCAGTCACGAACTGGCCCGAAGGAGGACAGCAGGTCATTGATGGTTTCAAAGTACGTGGACAGCATCGCTTCTTCCCTTGGAGAGAAAGAGGATGGTTAAACCCCGAAGACAACTATGTTTGTATTCAAAAAAATAAATATGAATTCATCCTACTGGATATCATCACTTATTTTGCTTATAATCAGGAAAATAATACAAATAAATATTTCAAAAGAAAGAATTAATAATAGGTGTACCATCATAGGGCATGGGACTGAAGTCCTATCATAATAAAGAGAAATGGATGTAGAACTTTGTTTCATGAATCCTCATAATTTTGAAAGATAGGTGTGAGATTACCATTTTATCACTAGGTAAACTGTGGCTCAGAAAGGCCAAGTGTCATGTTGAAGGCCACCCAGCTTGTGATGTGATAGAATTAAAGTTTATACCAAATTTCCTTCTGAGTCCAGAAAGAAAGCTTTTCCTACTTATACACTCTGACCTTGATCATATTTGTTTTGCAAGTTCTAGAACTTCCTAGAATAACTCTACAAATGGGTGCATTTCTATTATTCTAACACCAGTATTCTAACCTGATATTCAATTTATAAAACTGAAGCTATGAAAAGCTGTGAGGCTTCTCCCAAGTCCCAGACTACAGACATCAGAGCCAAGAAACACAGGAGTCTGGCCCTGGGGCCCAGATTAGATAGTTGTTTTTTCCACCATTGCCTAGAAGTCATACTGTCAAGATTGTCGGCAACAAGCTAGTGGAAAGGTCATGAGCTTCAGGGAAACACAGGCTTTTCCCAAATGAGGTTCCTAAAAGATAAGAGTGGACTAGATACCATAATCCACGGATCTGCCAAAATTCTGCAAGACAGAATTCTGTAAGTTGGATTCTACAATATAGGGATACAGAAGAATGTTCCTGGTGCAATTTTCTGGAGAAAGGTCCTCAAAGAAGAGAGTCCCTCACATGAGGGTATGCGGGATCCCCATAGCAACAGGGGATGTTAAAGGCACACCAGAGACCGTGGGAAGAGGCACCATTTCTTCCATGGTATATGGCTCATTGAGATGGTAGCCGTGAAAGGAAGGTTATGCACATGCTGCAGGAGGATCCAAAGGTACTGCTAGTAATGTCTCTGGACCATCCTTCACAACTTTTCTCATTCTAATTCTCTGCAGTCTTGGAGCTCTAGGTTTGGGTCTTGGGTCTTCTAACTCATGTCCTGCCTCTAATCTTATCCCCTTTGGTCCTATCTTTAATAATAATAATAACAACAACAATAATAATAATTGTTGTTGTTGTTATTATTATTATTATTATTATTTGCAGTTCTGGGGACTGAACCCAAGGCCTTGAGCATACTAGGCAAGTACTCAACCACTGAGCCTCATTCCCAGTGCTTTTGTCCCATCTTTCCACTGACTGCCATTGAGCCTGGTAAACCCCAGCTCTGATTAGACACTCCTCTGATCAGGGGCTCCCCAGTACTTGCAGAACTCAGTCTAAATGAGTTTCCTTGGCCTTAAGGAGTCTCTGTGATCTGGCCCCTGTCTATCCATCCAGCTCTGTCCACCCCATCCTCACACTCTATCCCCCAGCCACATGCCTCTTTCCATTTTTTGAACGCGGGGTATTGGGTCAGGTTCCCTGAAAGCAGACTATGAAAGGCAGTTAAGTGTTGAATAACCTTTAGAGATGTATCTGTAAAGAGTTATCCTGTGGGGAGTTCTGGGGCTGGGGTGGCCCTTTATGGATGTACAGGATTAAGGCAAGGGATCCAGGGCTTTGCATGCCCATATTAGCCAGCCATTGGCTGAAGGCTACAATCTGGAAGCAGGTATCCTTGGGTGAGGTGGTTCCTGTGGCTGAAGGCAATGCCCAGGGGAGACACACCTGCAGGCCAATAGCCACTGATCACCACAGCTGAGGGCAGGGTGAGTTGGCCCTGAAGAAGGATCTGGATCAGTCTATACAGGTTGAATACGGCTTATCCAAGATACTTGGGACCAGAAGTATTTCAGATTTGAGAATTTGGGGGATTTGGGTATATGTACAGTTTCCCTGTTGAACATCCCTAATTAAAAATCTTAACTCCAAATGCAGCAGGAATGGAAATTTCGAGTGTCATCCTGCAACCTGTACCTTTACCTCTCTGAATCTTTAACTGCAATCTTCCTTCTGTCTGGGATGCCCAGCTCTGAATTCTGAAAATGACCTTCCTAAATGACTGTTCCTATTTGTTCATTCTTCATTCACATAGTGCCCACGCTTATTGAGTGCTTACTACTATAGGCGCTACTCTATCTACTGGGGATTCGGCAGTGACGTTGGCAAGGTCCTTACTGCCCCAGGGCTTTTTGCTCCCTGGTTGGTACAGCCTTCTCTACCTTCCCCACTTGCATTAATTCCTTTTGCTTTTGAACATATTTTTTAAATCTCTTGTTTTATTGATTTTATAGATTGGTTTCATGGTCACCCAGAGAAACTGCAAGCTTTTTAAGAAACAGGGCTAAAGATTTATTCATCCTTCTTCAGTCCCTCGCACAGGGAAGAACAAACACTAGACAGATATTTTCAAAAGAAAGAAAGAAAAGCAGAAGCCACAGATGCAGTCTCTACCAGGTAGTACTTTTCCTGGAGCCTGCTCAAGCAGGAGACTCTTCTCTCTGTCCCCATTCTGGGTTCTCATTTCTCATCCTTCAGGTTCAGGACTACAGGGTGGAGACAGAAGAGAACAAGCAAGGGGAGCCACCAGATTGTCCCTTGTGAGGTGACAGGTGTGGGGGCTTCACAGTTCCTGAAATGAAGCTCGCAGGAGACTTGCCACTTTTGAATCATGGCAAGAGTTGAGGATGCTGGAAAGAGATTAAGGCTATTAAAATATTAACCACCCCAGAGGGAGAGGAAGCAACAGAGAGTGAGAGGGGGAGACGAGACAGGGGAGATGAGACACAGGAGAGACCATCTGAGAGAGTGAGAGAATAAGAAAAACTGCCAGACAGAAAGAAGAGCAAAGGAGAGGGAGAAACACATTTAGACATGCACAGGAAGACAAATAGGGGCAGAGGAACAGATGGACAGACAGGTGGGTGGGCAGACAGATGCACAGAGACACACATGTCGAGGACAGACACAGAGACTAAACCACAGGCAAATGGAGACAGAGAAGGCCCAGGAAAGGGTGCGGGGGAGGAGACAGGGGAGGGAACGAGAGAACAGAGGAATTAGAAGTGGAGACGGAAAGAGGAGAAAGCATCTAGCTAAACAGAACCCAGGCCTAAGGTAAGGAGGGGAGAGAGGAGGGGAGAGAAGCAGAAAGACTGAAAGTGCAAAGGAAGACACAGGGACAGAACCCACAGAGAGCCGCAGAGGCAGAGAGTGAGAGAGAAACAGAGGGAAGAGAAAAATAAGCAAAGGATGCCGGCTTCCTGTGGAACCCAGAGACAGCTCAGGAGGTGGTGCGGTTTCTGCCTAAACTGCATGTAAGCAGTGCCCCTTACAACACAAAGCCCCGACTCAGGGCTGTATAGCCAGGGAAGTGACTGCCTGTGGGCAACGAAAAGTCTGAAGACAAGAGAGGAAAGGAACCAGGCTGCGCTGGATGCAGGCATTTTCTCACCAAGGGCTCACTCTACCATCCCAGCCAGGGTGTGGTGTTTGTTAGATCTTACAGCTGCCCTGATAGTGGAGGGAGAGAGAGAGCAGCTCTGGGGGCAGAGTCCAAGTGGACTGAGGGGTGTCACATTGGTGCATCAGGGGACCTGGGAGAGATCCAGGCCTCACCGGGGGTCAACTCATCATGAAGGTCATCTTCACTATGTATGATTGCCTGAGCACCCACCATGTGCCAAGAACCGTGCTCAGCTCCTTTGCTGGGCAGTTTCTTTTGATTTCCATAACAGCCCTTGGAGCTACACATTTCCCTTCCTATTGGGCAGCTAGGGAAAGCAGGTCTCAGGAGCGGCAAGGTCAGGCTTCTGGTCCTGAGCTTTCCTTATGCCCTTTCCTTAAGGGTCAGCAACTGTGTCTTGTGTGTTGGGAGGGTCAGATTTCTCGTGATGGTGCATCCAGTAGGAATCTGAGTCCAGGTCCTTTTTGTCTAGAGGAGGAAGGAAGGGAAGGGCAGAGCCTGTGTCCTTTGTGTAAACCTGGTGCCTGACTCCTGGCCTATGCATGTAACCCAGGGTAGCCCCAGTCCATGTTGGAATAAAAGGGGAAACACTGTGTATTCATTTACTAGAAGCTTTATCACAGGCACCACACACTAGGTGCTTTAAAACAACAGAAACTTATTCTCTTACAATTATGGACGCTAGAAGTCCAAACCCAAGGGAAGAGTTCCAGAGCTATCGAGTCAGCTGACCATGGACTGAACTTCTGAAACTGAACCAAAATAAACCTTTTGTCCTCTACACTGCCCTTGTCAGGCCTTTTGGTCACAGTGACAAAAAGCTGTGAGAGGAGCGGAAGACTTTGTGAGTGGGAGTAAGTGTCCTTATCAAAGAACTTGACAGAGGGAGTTTGTCCCTTTTGTCCTTCTGTCTTCTGCTGTGCGAGGACACAGTGTTCCCTTCCTTTGGAGGACGTGGTGCTCAAGGTACCATCTTGAAAGCAGAGATGACTGCTCACCGCACAATGAACCTACTGGTCCTCCCAGCCTCCAAAACAATGAGAAATAAATTTCTACTCATTATCAATTACTGAGCCTATTTTGTTATAGTAGCATAAAGAAACTAAGACAAACATCCTCCAAATTTAGGGCTGTAAAAACCTTGAAGCTGTTTTGGAGTTAGGACTTGAACCCAGGCATACTCAGTTCCAGAGGCCTCATTCTTTCCCCTCTGTGAAATTTCTCCTGGACTTCAGACTTCTCATTTATAAAATAGGAACAATATCTGTCTTGCTGCCAAGCCTGCAGATTATTTATTGCAAGAATACAATAACATGATACATAAAATGTGTTTTCCAAACTCTAAAACCCAATGCTATTTTATTCATTGTCCATTCATTCAATAAATATTTGATCCAAATACTGTGCTGAGCTGATTATTATTCTGTTTTTTTGGGGGAGGGTCTCTCT